GAATAATAGTATGAAAATCATCTAACTTTGCTTACTTTATAATATAATTATGTATAATATGTATACCTACAACAATCTGAACCGCTGTTGCCTGAGGCTTGTTTAACGATCTAACGCAAAAAATACATTGCAGTATGTACTTACTACGGTGAATTTAATAATAATAATAATAATAATAATAATAATAATAATAATAATCCAACATTCCAGTGGAAAAGCAAAACACCCAACACCACGTGAGTAGGGCGAGGTCGCCGATGCAGCAGCAATACGTCGCGGAGAGCACAAGCCGAAACAACGAGAACATTATAAGTAGTAGCCGGCTGAACGGGCACCACTCGCCGATCGAGAGGAACAACAGCAAGGAGACGTCCTCGTACTCGCGCAGCTACGAGGCAACGAAGCACCGACACCACGAGCGCTACTCGCCGTCGCACGAGCGCTCGAGGAACGAGCCGCCCTCGCCACCGGTGCGCCGGAAGCCGGCTGGTAGTGGCCGCGTGGAGCGGGAGCTGCAGTCGAAAACCGAGCGCAGCTCGTACCTGAACCATCACCAGCAGACGGACAGTGGTAGCCACCAGCCCGTTGCCGAGCGCACCTCGAGTCCGGTGCACGTGATCACGCGCACTTGGGAGAACCGCAACAGGGACGCCCAGCAGCAGCACGAGGAGCGACGCAGCCGCAACAACGAGCGGGTTACGGAGTCGCGCCACCATTACCACCACGAGTCGAGCTCGGCGTCCCGCGGTAGGCACCGTAGCCCCGAGAGAACAAGGCACAGGCCACAGAGTCCCGTCTCGAGGTCCGTTTCCCCGTCGCCGGTGCGCAGGGACAAACGGGACGAGCACCACTCGCGCCCGTCCAAGTGTAAGTCGACCAACAGAGTAACCCCATACGGTGTATATGTATATACTTATGTGGCAATCAACGATCCAACAGCGCCCAGCCCATCCAAGTACAATATCGGCGAGTCCTTCAAGAAGCTGGTGCGCAAGTTGCGCTCGGCCAGCTCGGAGCGCCGGGGCGCCAGGCGACCGGCCGGCAGTTCGACCTCCCAACTCACTCAAACGGACCACGAGGGCTCCTCGACCTACCTGCAGTACAACACGGTCGACCGGAACGTGCCCCTGGGGCCCGACTACGACAACAATCAGGAGGACAATTGGCCGCCCGAGAGACCGCCCCGGTCGCCGCGCAACGTCACGACGAGCGTCAGCATCAACGTGAACTCGACGCCTGCGCTACCGGTGGCAGCCAAGCCCTTGGCTACCTCCATAGGTCACAGGGACCACAACGGCAACAGCAAGTACAGGCTGCAGGGACGGTCCGGTAGTCCGTCGAGGCTTCACGAGCAGATGTTCAAGGAGACGACGACGACGACAACGAACAAGACTCACGAGAGCCAGCCGATACACCGCTACTACCTGGGCGAGGATCCCTACGGTGGGAGTATCTACGGCAAGGAGAAGGGCTACAGGGAGACAACGGCCAAGCTTCGCTCGAGCAGCCGGCACCGGGCCAGGCCCATCGAGGAGGAGTACAGGTGAGCTTACAATCAGCCCTTCTATCAATTTTCTTTCTACCTGTATAATATTACCGATTGTCGGGTTTCAGTCCGGAACCGGGCTCGCTCGGTCGTTTCAGTAAATCGACGAGCCGGCTCGTCTCTCACGAGTACAGCAACGAGCTGCACCACAGCGAGCCGAAGCGCCACACGAGCGCCCAGACGCTGCCCAGAAAGATCCCCAGTCCAACCCAGCACCGCAACAACGGCTCGAGCCAAACCAGCACTGGGACGCGGCGGCACCTCCATCAGACCAACGGTCACTCCGTGTCCAGATACACCAACGGCTTTGGGAACGACAACAGCGCCACCAGCATCACCAGAGACGCCAACAGCGGCAATCAGTACGGCAGCATGATCAACATATCGTTCAAGAACACCGTCACCTCGACCCCCAAGACGACGCACTACGTACAAACTACGACGCCGATCAACAACAACAACAATCACAGCTCGTCGCCACCGAAGCCCGAGCGCACGTACAAGTCCACTCTGTCGCGCAGCAAGAGCTTCAATGTTGAGATAGCCGACGATGGCGTCGTCACGACACCCGTGAGGACCAATGGTTACAACGGCAGCAACGTGCGCTCTGTCTCGCACATCAACAAACTCGACGAGGCGCCGCCGCTCAAGAGCCCGGGCATACTGGCCAGCATCAGTCGCAGCAACAGGGACCTCATGGCGACGCGCAACACCAGACTGCACGACTACTAACCACCAAATTGCTGCTGTGCAGTGCCGAACCGTTTTGGGTTCTTTGTGTCGTGTTGCAGTTTTGTTTTCAGTATAACACCTCCAGGGAGTATTTCATGAATTTTGAGAAGAAGAAAAAAAAAAAAAACACTCTGTAGCTGCACGTTGGGTGAGATGGAAGGAAATTTTTACCGAGGACTAGAGCTAGTTTTTTTTTTTTTTTTTTTCCATACAATGCCTTAACGCTACGAAAATGAAGGGGGAACATTCTTAACTTTTAACACAGCAGGGATATGATTGAACAACCGAAAAGCGGAATGATAAAGGGCTTGCGAGAAATGTGAGCTTTTTGTCCTTCTTTACTCTTTATTTATTTAAATTATTTCAAAGTACGAGTATTTTTACAATTAGTGAAAGACATAAAATGCAACAATCGAGACACGTAATGAAATATCACAAACAGGTATACACGTACATGTACTTGCTAAATTGTATTAGGCTTCTTTTGTAATTTAAGAGAAAAATATAATCAAACTTTAATATCGTTAAACATTAATCCTTTGCGAAATAATATCGTTATTTTAATGAAACTGAAGCTTTGGCGATTTATTTTTTCTCAATAACTTCAATGTTAAAACAGTCCCTGGAAAAATAATTGTCAAAAGCTTTATTCACAGTTTTGATTTAATTTTTCTTTTCTTCCTTTTTTACTTAGCATACATCAAAGATTAGAAAAAATTCGTTATTATTTGACAATATCAAATTTTATTGAACACTTTAGAATTNTCTATAATTTTGGCACGAGGTACCGATACTAGAGTTAAAAAGCTTATGACCGTGTAAAGCAATGTAGGTATATCTTGAAACTCGTAAACATCTCGAAAGATGCAAAGGTAATGTACGTACAAATATCCTATTTGTTGGTTGAATTTCCAAAACAATTTGCGAATTGAAGGGGTCCAATGAATCTACCGGTAATGCATATTTATTATTATTTGTTTTTAAATTTTGTTGCATATTGTGTACTATTTGTTTTATAATTATCTCATGGACTACGATAAAATAGGGAACGTAAACTTATGCCATGGGTATAGAGAGCTACCCTACCTTGCGATAGAGGGCAATGCGTGTCATGATTTTCTTCATTACCAGCATTTTTATTTGCTTCAAAAGGAAGTAAAAGCCGATCTAATTGTAATGAATTAAAAAGGCAATTAATTATAAATATTTGCGTATCGCACGAGGGGATCATCAGGTTTGATTTTTTTGTTTTACATCACTTGAAAGATGCCGTTCGACGCGACCTCTGATGGTCAATTTTTTTTTTTTTTTTTTTTTCCATACTCTCTCATTCGAAACGCCGCACGTAAAGCTCGCGAGAGCTGTTAAAAAACACAAAAGCCCTGCAAATAAGGAGACTCACTGGCTTATTGAAAATATTTCACCATACCAAAGTGCTTTTCGATGTCATCTCGAGCGTTTTTTCATCATCCTCGCGTGCAACGACTGCAGTATACACGACGTGTTGTACATCACCTATACATATTATATATTATATACTCACACTTGGATGTTCTTTTCCGACCATTAGCGTCAAATTTATCATTTGCTCGTGACTTTGCAATAAATGCATTACCTCAACTACAAGCTCGATGTGCGTTATTTGGGATAAAAAAAATCCAGGTGAATAATCACTCCTGATTGTGTGTACATATATTATTGGCGTTTGTTAAGTAACGTTCCAAGCGTTTTCTGGTTAATGCTAGTAATTTTAAAGAAGGAAAAATAAAAGAAAAGAATTTACATTGGGGAAAAAAAAAAAAAAAACAAAAACACACAACGATGTACAGATAAAGGACGAAGAGCTGCCGGAAGGGGCGGACGTGGCAGACGAGGACTTTGAGACGCGCAAGGAGGCGACGCAGCGCTACGTGAAGACGCGGGACGAGGACGTGGTCGACTACATCCAGAACGGCGAGAGGGTCGGCCGCGAGATGCGCTTCGTCTCGGAGACGATGGAAGCCGAGCGGACCGGCGACTGGCCCACCACCGATTCGTCCAACCTGCGCCGATCCGCGCGACTCCCCAAACACGGTATGAATTGCAACGCTTTTTACTTTCATATTTCGCTTCGAACGGCTCTAATATACTCGAATGATTGAAAATAAAAATAATTAATTGATCGATCGATGAGCTGTATGGTCCGCTGACAAATAAGGTGTATACGCAAGCGATTAACTATGCTGCTTTGTATGGCTCGGAGCTCGAATTAATATAGGCAAATAACACCCGTTTAACGAAATATTTTGTTCTAACAAGTGTTGGCCATTAAATGCAAAATTACTAAAACAAATAATAATAAAACAAAACGAACGTGTACAGCAACGTATCGCCGCGAACTGCGTTTCGGAGATATACGCCACCGATACAATGTGCAATCGAGACATGCACATTTAGATGGACCGAGCCGATCCATCCGAAAGCCATTTCCGTAGAATAGCTATAAAAAAAAAAAAAAAAAAAAAAAAAAAAAACAGGGAAAGAAAAAAGAAAGAGTCCAGCCCTTTGAGATGAGCACTGTTTCTATGCTTGACTTATCGGTTGTGGCAAAATAAAGAAGCGTCAGCGCCGGCGACCCGTTCACTTGGTCTTGCGTTTCTTGGACGACACTAATTTTATCTCCCGCAACTTTCTTATCGTTAGCACGAGGACGAGAGCGTTGATCACGTAGAGGCTCATGCAGACGAGGCAAAAGTCCTGAAGCAGGTAGAGGACGCGCGCCAAGTAGACGGAGAACAGGTTCGAGACGACTGCCGCTATCAGCATGAGTACCGTGTTCCAGTAGCTATTGAACAGACCTACGAGCGGGGGAGAAGTATTTTTTTTTTTTTCTTATCATCAATTGTTTCGAAAAAGACATTTTGACACCGAGTTTGTTTGTGCTCTTACTCAATGATGCGACGATAGTGTAGAATATTATGCCGTACAAGCTGTTTGGCAAGTAGAGCGGCGAGTCCCTTGGAATCAGGCCAAATCCTTTGCCGTATCTGCGAGAGACAGGAGTATACAAAATTACGTATAGCCTCACGTGGGGATGATTTTGTTAGTGTTTCGTCCCCTTCCCTCCTACGACGAGCTTTTGTTTTGCCGCGTCCATAGCAAGTTTCGTACACACTCTCGGATGACTGTGCACTTGGGTAAGATGCCACTTACATTTAAGGGGGAGACTCTCTCGTATAGCCATAGGGTACTTGGTATTTTATTCGATTAATTATGGGTGGGGACGTCGATTGAACCGTGGGCTAAAGGTTCATTTTTTTTTTTTTTTAATAATTCAAGCCAGTTTGTTCAGTCTGCCAGGGAGTGTTGGTTGAACCTCGTGCGATAACTTTATCGATAAAATGAAAAGGCGAATTGATATTTCATACGAGATTGACGCATTAACATTCTACGATACTGCAGTCCAAACGTCAAAGTGGCGTATTTGTTTTTATTTTTATATATCACTCGAGAGAGCGAGAGAGATAAGATACGATTTTATTTTCGTAAGACAAGATCTGCCTGCATACATGGCTTGGGTGTTTTAACATTTCGAGAATATAATATTGTGCAAAAATACGCACAACAGCGATCGCGATACTCGGAAACTGTTTTTCATTTATATATATAATGCACGTGTATACGTATAAACACGGCAGAGTGAAAGTATGCAAAAATACCGGTGTCGATTTTTCTCTTCGTTCAAAAATAAATTCGCGAAATTCTTGTGCCGTTGAAGCGAACCTCGCGGCGATCGGGCAACTACAATGAACGTAAAAGACAAAAGTCATACGGAAACGTCCGATTAGCTGCTGGAGCTGAAAATAAAAAAAAAATATAGCATACAGAGAGTGACGTTCTACGGCCCTAAAAAACCGCCATTCCATATTTCGGGATCGCGTGGGTGAGCGGTGCGATTGAAAAAAAAAAAAAAAAAAAAAAAAAAAGCGAATCAGGGACGGGCGAAAGTAATGAATCGATGCTCGCGCCGGGAGAGAAAGATCGAAAAATCTGTTGACGCACGGGCGTCCTTGTCATGCCTCTCTATATTTACGTTTTTCTCCTTCAGAGCAGCAGCGGATCGTTGAACATCAATTCGCACCGGTGTAGGGAAAGTGCCGAATCGAGTGAGTGGTATGTCTAAAATAAACGCGAGAGGGGGAAGGGATCGATGCAGTTTCTGGAACGGTGATTTATTCATCGGGATCGTCGCGTTGACGATCGGAGGAGGCTCGACCGTTCTTTTTTGTTTTTGTTTTTTCCTCAGCGGTTATTTTCGACGTAGGGAAACTTTGTTTATTATAATATACACAACTCTCCAGCGCGTTTTGGCATACGTAAACGTGCACTACGAAAATATTTGATCGATAAGATATTATACGGTCGCATGAATGTTCTCCGTTTCCGACTCTACCCACTCCAACCGTACAAATAAACTCCACCCCTATGGAGAAGCCGGTAACGTATACTGCCTCGGCAATGACAAGTATATTATTTTGGCGAGTGTATTTCGGAGAAACAATGTTTCGCAAGCATTGGGCTGACGAATCGTTAATTGTTAACAAAATTAACGCTCGATTGACGCGAGCGCCCGGACAATTGACAATGTAAACAGCCCGTCCAGCTCCAACAGCTGTATACCTATACAGTGTATCTTTTGAGGATATTGTATGCAAGCAGACGAAAACCACCTGCTCGAAATAATTCATGGCATAGCTCTTTGAGCGGTGAACGAGCGATAGCGTGTACATAAAAGGGATGTAATCGTGCTGGGGGGAGGGGGTGCAAACACGTAAAGTATACTCTATGAAGAAATCAATAATTTTGATCAACAGTTACTTCCGGCCCGACATACGAGCACACTGTGCCTTTGACTTCGACGATACTGCACGAGCTTATTTCACGTGACCTTCGCCCGAGTTTTGGATCGATTTCCCTTAGTTTTTTCTCCCATCGATAATTTACTAACGTACATAGGTATAAATAAACCTACATGAGCCACAAAGTGGTAAGTCAAATTTTTTTTTATCGCAGGCACGTTGTGTTATCAGTTACGCAAAGTTTATCCACACCGAGTGTTCGGATTCGATTATCGAGTGAAGTATTATGTTTGCACACCCCAATCAAGATAGCGAGTAATCGTATTCGTCAGCTCTGAGATACGTGGTATTACTCTTGACAACAAAAATCAAAGGCATTAAACTATTATGTACTTTCGAAAACAGTGTTCTTTTCCTGACGAAGAAAAAGCTCGCGATGACGAAAAGCTTCTAGTGCGCTCATCTGCAACAGTATGGGGTAAACAGTCTACCTAAGCTTGCGTGTTTCCCGCACGACAGCAATCGATTTACCATAAATATATGGCTGCAGTTTCAAGGATCCCGTATACCTACAAGCGCGAACTCGGCACAACAACAGTAAAAAAACAAAAATCTAGGGAGGGGGGAGACCCACGAGAGCACTTACTTTGACATAAAAGCCTTGGTGCAGCTGACGTGTTCGCTTATGTCGCAAAACGGCTGGTAGGACTTGTCCTTTTCCTTGGTCGTCTCGACGATGTAGCTGTAATAGGATATCCCGACGCCAAGTAGGCACAACCAAAGCAGCGCGGCGTCCAGCCGCTGCATCTTGTAAGTCGCCATGTTTGACACTGACTGCGTATTAGCTGGTATTTGACTTTTTACTGTTGCCCCTGTCAACTTGCACTGCAAGCTACGTTACTGTCGGCTGTGCGATGGGGCTCTCTCTCTGATGTGGTGTATATGGGTAACACGTTACAGTATTATATATACGTTGAACTTCCAACAGTTTCAGCACAACTCCCTCTCTGCACTGCTCGCTCTTTTGAGTTTTGGAGAAGTCTCTCCCGGAGAGTTGACGATGCGCAGGCTCGGCGCGAAAACAGATTCGACGGTAAGTGTACGTCAGGGATGGTTTTAATGTTGTACACGTCCCGAGCTCCAATCGTTTTAATGCTCTGTCGCCTCGGCTTAGAGAAAGCATACTTTCTAGCTTATGTGGTTGAAAAAACGGACGAGCTTTTGCGAAGCTCTTTTCGTTAATTTAATGTTCGATTCGTTTGTTTTCAAGTATGTCAAAGAAGAGTAAGGGTTTCTGTTGAAAATGACACGATTGATAATGAAAGATGCTTGTGATACGGTCGTTGTACAATTTATGCACAATAACAGGCTGCTAAAGACAAATTTTAAAACACCTGCACATACTCAACTCTTAATAAGAAGTTTATAAAAGTTACAAATTAAAAAATTCTGTTTCTCAAACGAAAAAAATTAATGCTAAAACTTGACGATTCTTGCCTTACTTGTCGAGCATTCCCACCATTATTTCTTGCCCAGAGGGCTCGCACTGAAACGTATCGGCGTTTATTTATTTACAAAGCAGTAATTTTTCTAAACTCTCGGAATGATTTAGATCTTAATCAATATAACCTTCCAGCTTTTAAGCAATCAATTTTTACTGAGTTGTTTAATAAGGAGCTAGTGGGATGAAGGCATGAGAGCGATACCCCTCTCTCAAATCTTTCCCTATAATTGTGTTTGTGCTCTAGTCTTTAACTGCGCTTTTATTCTTTCTATGTTTTTATTTTATTGTTATTTATATTTGTACTTTTATTGTTATAATTTTGTCTTATAAATCTATTAATTTACATCGGATTGTTCTTGTGCTATATTATTGTTTGAATTGAGCGCTGATGGCTCGAGGTTTGTGTTACTTATGTATTCAGTTTTATTTAATTGTTTCACATTGTACCATTTTACGTGTATGCAGGTGGTGTCTGTAGTTATAGTTGCGTTTGATACTTTAGACACATTTATGCACTGATTGTTTTAGTCTAAGTCTTTATTTAAGTTTTGTTTAATTTATTTACCTAACTGATTAGCTGTTAAAATAAAACATGGTTCAATCTAATGGTTTATATCAACAACTAATTTCTAGTTACATATTTATATTTACATATTTGTTATGTCGATGGGTCACTTCTATGGTTTATATTTTGTATTTTTATATATTTCTTGTTTCATCGATGTATTTATCTTGAAGAGCCAGACGTGGTTTAACACAAGGCTTTTGTAAATTGAATTTCAATTTTAATTCTATAAAAATAAACAAACAATTTTTACTATAATACATCTTTTATTATCCATAAACTTTTGTCGGTAATTAAGAATTCGCACGTGAGCTAAATTCATTCTCAATGCCGATAATTTATAAAGAAATAAATATACGTTAATTTATTTTTAAGCTAGCAGAGAATTAAAAAAATGATGGTTGTTTCAGTATTCACGTAATATCGGCGATAATCAGTATAAATTTAGAAATTTCATTCTTGAGGAGCCATTGCTCTTGCTTGCGCTCGCACTCGTTTCTCGTACTCAAGACGGTTTTGGCTAAACAATAAAATATAGTAACGTTAATTTTCAATGGGAATTTCCACTCATTAGATTTACATTTGGTACCATGAAAATAATCTTGATTCAAGCCCAAAAATTACACATCATGGTCCCAAACAATAAAGTAAAGATAAATACCAATAGATTGTATAAGCTTCTGCCTGTGCTGGATCTTTTACATTAGGCTCATTGAGTAAATCTTGAATACCAAGAAGGATTTGTTTGATTGTGATCGCTGGCCTCCAGTCTTTTTCTTCATCTAACAATGATAAACAAACTGTACCCGATGGATAAACGTTTGGATGAAACAGTGGTGGCTCAAATTTGCATTTGGGTGGGCTGGAAGGATAGTCATCCTTGAAGATCATCCGTAGCTTATAAAGTCCACCCTCCCAAGGTGTCTAAAGTAGTGTCAAGTGTTGTAACAATCATTGTAGAGTGAACATTTTATAAACTTTAATTAAAATAACCTACGCTTTTTTTGCCTGGTATCGCACATTCCCAACTCATGAGATTTAGAGTACTATCTGGATTTTTCGTTGGTCGTGCCACAAACCCCTGTAATGTAAAAATTCCATTTTATGACATATCTACTTACAGTACATCAGCCAAAACATGAAAGTTAAATTTCCAAACAATCGTCGGCAGCAAAATCATTCATGTAGTACACAATCATTAACTTAAAGATTAATTTCTAATTTTCATATGACATGATACCAAGGATCCAAAGAAAACATAAAATGATGAAAGTGACAAGAAAAGTTGATATTTCTATTCTGTATGTGATTTTCTCAAGATTCATATTTCATCTACGAATCGAGATACCTTCGAATCTTTGCAGGAAATGGAAAAAATTCTTCAATATTTATATGACATTCCGTGTTTTTCTTTTGTAATAGTCACAGTAACAAAGAGATGAAGAGCGTTAACGCGGGATCAGTTAGAGGTTAAGTATGCGTCCTAGCCACCTAGCCTCACTTTACGATATGATATATCCATTTGTTTATAGACAGACAGAAATATTTTCAACAAGTGTGAACACTTGAAAAAAGCACAAATCAAAGTACGAAAACGAGAACACGATTCTCCGAACTTGGTTACACAAAAAGACGTAACCATCTCCAAGTACAGCAGAAAAAGTGGGTAATTACTTAAAACACATGCGATGCACACTAGCGTCAAATACGCACGTATGCACACGTTTACTTACAAAAGGATGATCCTTTCTCCAAGCTTTGCGCTCCTCGGCTAGCCTGGCGCTCGCAATACCCGACATCCTGACGCTTTTACACTGCAAGAAAGTTAAGAAAAAAAAAAAGACTTAGGTCACTATAAAACCAGGTTCAGGCACACTGCATGCACTCCCGTCGAACTGCTCTCGCACTTATACGATAAGATCGTCGTCTTCGCGCCAAAGCGAGACAGACGTATAGGGTGCCAGGTGCCCACACACTTACTGCCAATGTGCCCATATATACACTTACCGTCTATTTAGTTGTATTTAGCCTTGACAATTGCTCTCCTCTCTTTTTTCTTAGGGATCAGGGTACATTCGCCGGGTGTTTGTTTACCAGTCCTCTTTCACTCTCGTGAAAATGTTATAATAAGCCGAGAGACGCGCGCAATTTTCGTGAACCTGGTGTATTGTGCGTAATACCAGTGTCATTGATTATAATATTGACCCGGGTGCGAAAAACTGTTGTACGATGATGACGAGGTTGGCTGGATAGCGGAGGAGAGTACGACCAACACTTCCTAGGGGACGTATACGACACTACGGCTAATATTTGGAGAGTCTGCTTCAATCTTCAATGATTCTGAACGATGCTCTCTATTTGCTCTTCTTTTACCACTGCTTATAGATGAAAAGATAACAATCAACGTAATCTATAAAGATAAACCCTTCGAAATGAATTTCCGAGCCAAACCAGCTATACTTATTATTCGCTTAACGAATAATAAGAAAACTGTGAACTACTTATTTATGCGAACCCTTTTTTTAAACGCAAGAAACGAGTTAATTCTATCGTTGCCGGTGCTATTTAAAGTGATTAAAGTGTAACTTTAATCTTGAGCAAATTATCTAGATGATTAATTGTCTGGCGAAGATTATTGGGTTGACTGCAAAATATTTTTACAATGCTTGACAAAAAATTAATTAAAAACAAATAATTAAATATCTTTACGAAAATTTAAAACAATCGTATTTTTACAACATACATGTCATTTTCATTATTTGTAAATTTTTATGGTTTCCACTATTGAGTAAAAAATGTTAAAAATCTGATTTGTCGTTTTCTCGTCCATCATATATATCTAGGGTTAATAATCTTTTGAAATCCTGTTGACGTGCTTGATTTGGCATTTTATTGATTTATTTCATCCGTTTGTTAATTGGAGAAAAGTAATTCCAGTAGGTTCGGAAAGTTATCCTCGTGCTGAAAATGTCAGAGTCAAGTAATAACAAACTAAACAAAACGTTTAATTTATAATATAAACTTATCATTTGAAAAATGGTCCAGTTCGTCGCCAACATGTAAACAGTCTTTATTTACCAACAGCGTCGTCGACTTGGAAACCCACCCACACGTGTCTGCTACATTATTTAAATGACTAAACTAAATCTTCTTAAAGCGGCAAGAAAATTACTTACCTTTGAGGATCAGGATTACCAATTCGGTAAAAACCGTTAGTAAAATATCTGGGTACATTGATAATTAATTGATACATGTAGGTGCATTGGGTAGGAGGTGTGAAGAGAAAAAGAGAAGAACGGGACAACTGTGTTCCAATTATGTATATTATTGGATCCTAGTCAAATAGGTGGTATTCGTGCTTCAGCTTCAGCTCCAGTCTCCAATTTTACGAATCATTCTAAACGAATTGACGTTGTACTTACAATGTACAAGAAATGGTAAGTAAAGTTTCTCAAGCTAGAGCTGCAGAGCCCTGAGCCATAGACATGTCTGCAGTGTCTGCAGACAATGTCCAAATTACGGAACACTCATTACACCATCCCAGTCTCCAGTGATCAGGCCATGCACTCAGCCTCAGACAGACACAATCCTTTCTCTCTCTTTTTCTACTCCAGCGCCTCATCCACTTCGTATATCTGCTGCGAACATTTTATTGGCGCATTTTCTCTACTCTCGCTTTCTTGTCCTGAAGGTGAACATATATGTATATTAAACTACTACACTACAAGGAGTAAGTACAAGCACAAATACTTATACCTGTAGCTGATGTTGCTGAATGTATTAAGCGCATTACGGCTCGAGCAAGCAGCCGAGGAGCAAGCTGACGAGTAAGTAACAAGAATGCATCGAGTACAAGATCGGTATTGTAATGAGCATTTGAGCAATAAACAGCTGCAGTGTTAATTTTGTACAAGAAAACTTTGTATGACAAATGTGTAGTGTGCTCCATTGTTACGAAGGAGGCAAAGAGGCAGTCGTGCAAAAAACAGTGTAGTTACACCCAGACTGGGGCTTCAGAAAAAGAAGGAAAGGAGATTTTTCAACGAGAGTTGTAACTACTACTAAGTATACGTGTACCCAAATATGTAATACAAACAGTGCACGTACTTTTTTTTTTTTTTTCTCAACTTCTCGGGTCACATGTAACCTCTGCCCTCATCATCGGTGTACTCTTGTTGCAAGAAGTCTGCAGCCAGCAGTGCTATTCCAAGAAGAAGAGTAAATTGAGAAGCAGATGAGAGAGTAAAAGAAGGAGGATGTCGGTGAGGAAGAACGCGAGAATCCCGCTGCTGCGGGGTGAAAGTAGCAGCAGCAGCAGCAGCAGCAGCAGCAGCAACCCGCCAAGGCATCAACAACGGCTTTATTGCAGCCGCTTCTGCTTGCTCCGTATTTAAAAACGTCGTTGTTGTTATTACATATACAATATATACGGCGGAGCTTGTACGTATTCATATATCCATGTATAACCATCACAGTATATAACATCAAAGAGAGTAGACGCATGTGAGCGATATTGTATTACTTTTTTGGAACGCGCGACACATTTACCAAACGACGCGCACGACGGAATCTTCTCTCTTTTTGTGTGCTCTCTGAGAGTTGCTCTCTATAACGTAAGTTATTCTCGGGTTTTTTTTTTTATTGCTCACTCACTAGTCGCTGTTGTTGGTCGTCCTCTCGACTTTAGAGAAACGAGACGAACGAAGGAGGTGTAAAGTTACACAAAAGTGCAGTGCACACTATACGTGTGTGTAAGTGTATGCTTTCGTTGAACGTGCGGTTTTTGCCTGCTGCATCTGCAGAGAAGCGAGATAAACTCGTCCGTTGTTAAATATGGCCTGAGAAGCTGAAGCTGCTCTGAACTGCTGTACATGTAGAGGTAAGAAGGGGTCTTTTGTTAATTTTATGATGCTCTAGGGTATGTAACGAATTATTGTATGCATGAACTTCCTCCTGGGGGATTTGTAGGCTGCTAGCAAATTGACAGTGTAAACAAGCAAGCCAATGCTGTAGTAGTATAGATGTATGGTTTGCAATTAATTTTAGAATTTGGTTGTTAAGCTCCACTTGAATTACTATTCAGTTTATATCTGTTATTTAAGGAATCAGTTTGCCAGTACACTTATATTTAGAACTGATGCTTGAGGTATCGACTTATGAACTAGCTCTCACTTTTCATATATATGAATTCCTGGCAAATCGAGGCTACATGATTCAATTGTTAATAATTGGATTTCGTACAAGTCATGCTTCGTGAGTCTTATCAATGAATTCATATCATTCCTCTGATGTAACCAGTTTATTTAATGTTGTACACGATTAGTGAGAAATTTAATACCTCCAACTGTGAATGCAAAAGTTTATTTGTTAATCCATTTGAAAACACGTTATTTTTGTTGTTAAATTATTTGTTTGTTCCTTTCTTACATGCAATGCGTGTTGTATCATTAAAAATGAATAATATAAAATATAAATAATAACCAATGTCATACATTTTTGTAATAATTTGGTTTTTTTGACCTTAAAGCTATGAGAAAATCAATGTTTGCATTTACTTGATACGTGCTCGAGTGCCAAAACAGTTGTAAATCTAATTGGCACTTTGGTATGAAACGCCACTTGGTTGATTAACACTTTTATCGGCTTGTCGATTTAAAAATGCAATGTGACGAAACTCGTGTGAAGCGAAAAAAGTCGCACAACAACAGTCATTTCCTTAATCTACCAGAAGCTTTGTAGCATTTTTTACGTTCAAAAATAACTGGATCTTTTGTCCCCAATTCTTTGACTCGCAGCTCCACGAGTCTGTTTCGATCGGCAAAAATTCATAGTAATAATCTATAAAATTGACACGCTTGAAAAATGTATTAACCGCAACACTATTAACAGTGCGAGAAAAAAAGTCGCAGATAAAAACATGAACTGCTAGCATCACAGGAAAAAAAAGTAGCCGACAGGGAGATACGGTTTTTCACTAAAATCCTCTGTCTTTTATAAATAATAATAAAACTTTAAAAAAAGAATCCCAACTGCATACATGCATTCCACGTATAGGGTATACAAATACCAAACAGACAACTTCTAACGCTCTTCTCTCTCTGCGCTACACCTGTGACCTTCGATTAATACAGTCCCATTTTTCTTTCTCGTTTATATACTCTGCCATACACATTTTCCTCGCTGCTGCATTAGTTTTGTTAATGAGCCATTTCATGCGTCTGGTCGTACGTTTATGATGATTATCGGTTGCAGAGCTTGCCGCCGCCGCTTAGGTACAGTAAGTACCACACGGAGATCCTTGGCACGTATTTTACGCGATTGCGGATCGCGAAATACTTGCACATGTATATATATGTACGCGTATAATGTATACAGGTACCTCGCCGCGACTCCAGGGGAAAGTGGAGAATGGAATGTCGGTTTCCAAAATAGGTTTTTTCGAAAGCACGCCCGTGGGCTCGCAGCCACGTTTCCAATTAGATTCCGGCAGGTTTTGTTTTATCTTCATTTACTAGTTTTAATGAAATGCAAATCGTTGAGGTTGTTTCGTGGTGGCGAGATCAACTAAGCAAAAATGGTTTTCCCCGTCTCAATTGCGCCAATAAGACCAACGACTACAAGTGACCGGGTCCCCTTTAGCTTCCTGTAAAAATACACTCAAGGGCCTTGAATTACTTATTGCTCCAAAAAAAAAAACAAAAAAAAAAAAAACACGAGCTCGCGCGCAATGTCACACGTCTCTCGTTTGCTGTGTAATTTGGAGTAATCATAACTAACGAGGCGTGCGTATATTCTCCAAACATTTTTTAAAATACGTTGTTGTATAAATATACTCTTTACTTTTGCTTTGAAATACACCTATACGCTTTCGTTTGATTGGCTCTCGTCTTTTCGTTTCCGCGAGTCGTTGCAACGGTTTCATACAATATTTTACAGAACAACAAAATGCCAAACGATGCGCGTCACGTTCATAAATATACCTACACTAATGACCTAACGATTTAAAAACACGATCGTCTCATCAAAAAAATCATGAACAACATGAACAAATAAATCTTGTTACCACCAAAAGCTTCAAACTCGAGTTACCGATGCCGATTTTCAATATATAAAACCAAGGATGATAAACAAAGCTGGAGCCAATCGGAGCTCGTGATCGGTAATCGTGAACCGATGCAATCCCTCTCGGCGACGGAAACTTTCAAAACAAACTCTCCTCGCGCGTATAAAGAATTCTTGCAAATTTTCCCAAATGCAGGTGGCGATTGCAAAACATCGCTCGAGAGTTTGAGGCGCGCGCGTGTCGCGTCGTGTGTGTACCACCCACCCGCCGGTCCTTCCTCTTCGCCGTTTAAAATCTGTACGATAATTCGTATAGATAAGAGCTCTACCGCTCTCGGACGGCGGCGTGCATATTATCTCATTTCCTGCTACGTATACACACATATTATGAGCCGAAGGAGAGATACGTGTATTATATATTACACAGCCCCTCGGTTCCGGGACGATGTTTTTGTTCAACGTGTGCGCGTTTGTTAGCACTTGCACTTGGACAATACATATTACAAGGCTGCGATGATGATGATGATGATGCCCGCACTGGTGTGTCGTTGTCGCGTCGTTACGTGATGTGAATTGTTAAATGTGCGCGCTCTAGCTTTGATATATTAACGATTGACGGGAGAAATTTTAATGGGTAGCGATACCCGCGCGCAGAGAGGATATATATCGGTTACTGTAGTTATTGGCCGTGATCGTCATCGCGATGGTGAACAATCGGTGCTCCGTTACGTATACATCTCTCATCGTTCGATTTCTTTTTCATTTTTTTTCTTTTCCCCCTCGAAGAGATGCTGCTTCATCAATTTCGTTTTCTTTTTTTTTTTTTTTTTTTTTTAAATTATTATCGCGCAATTAAGCACCATAAAACGATTATCGTGTTGTTGAAATATTTGAACTGTACTGATTGCGCCCAGTCAATCAAGAATGTATCTTGCTTACGATAATATCATACGTAAGTACCAGTGTTGACTTTATATGACAATTACTCCACTATACTCTCCTAGTGCCTCGTGTACGTTGGTTGTATATGTAGCTCTTATCTTTTGTGTGCTTGATACGAGAGGGTATTATATACGCATTATGTGTACATACACGGGATTTCAAATGATCTGTTATAGTATGTAGCTTTATGGGCATAAAACAACATTGTTTGAATGGCTATCAATTGTGCATTGAATAATAGATACATTCAATTCACGCGCCCACAAATGATTTTTCCATTCATGTGGTGAATATTGAAATTCAAATGAAAAGCTATCGAGCCTTGGAATAACAAGTGGTTAATTTTTTTTTTTTTTTTTTTTGTATTTCAGAAGCCCAAACACCCGTCTAGTCCCCCATTGGAATCATGGCTGACGATGAGGGCACCGAGTGGCTCCAGGAGTTGCTGCACGACGTGCAGCTCTCGCAGTTCTTCACGCGAATCAGGGACGACCTGCAGGTGACGCGGCTGCATCATTTCGATTACGTGCAGCCGGAGGACTTGGAGAAAATCGGTCTGGGCAAGCCGGGGATTCGGCGTTTACTCGACGCCGTGAAAAAGAAGCGCACCACGCAGTGGAAGAAGACCCTGATCACGAAGATAAGGCCCGGCAGTGACAAGAACAAGAGCAACAAGCGCGCCTCCCAGACGGTCGAGACCTCCTCGGTCCTCACCTGCCTCATCCAGGACAAGGACGTCACGTTATCCGTCAAGCTGGGCGATGGGAGCTTCGGCGTCGTCAGGAGGGGCGAGTGGAGCTCGCCGACCGGGAGGACACTGCCCGTCGCCGTCAAAGTGCTCAAGGCCGACGCTCTGACCCAGCCGAACGTCATCGAGGACTTTGTGTCCGAGGTTCAGTCCATGCACACGCTCGACCATCACAATCTCATACGGTAAGCGATTCATGCCTATTCATGCGACCGAAGCTCGTTGCCTGAAAAATTCGTTTCATTTGTCATTGTCTGTCCGTCTGCAGGTTGTACGGTGTGGTACTGTCGCAGCCAATGATGATGGTGACGGAGCTCGCGCCGCTCGGTGCGCTCCTGGACTACCTGCGCAAGCAGTGCGGCCACATATCGGTCCTGACGCTGTGCAATTACGCGTTACAAGTGGCTACGGGTATGGCTTACCTCGAGGCCAAGCGGTTCCTCCACCGAGACCTCGCCTGCCGAAACGTCTTGCTCAGTTCCGTCGACAAGATAAAAATCGGGGACTTTGGCCTGATGCGCGCACTGCCCCAGCAAGAGGATTGTTACGTGATGACGGAGCACAAGAAGGTGCCGTTTCCTTGGTGCGCTCCGGAATCGCTAAAGGCGCGGCAGTTTAGTCACGCCTCGGACGTTTGGATGTACGGGGTCACGCTTTGGGAAATGCTGACGTTTGGCGAGGAGCCCTGGGTGGGCCTGAACGGATCGGAGATTCTCAGGAAGATCGATAGGGAGGGTGAGAGGCTGCACGAGCCGGAAGCTAGTCCGCCGGCGATGTTTCAGTTGATGTTGCATTGCTGGGCCAGAGAGCCGACAGAAAGACCAACTTTTGCGTCACTCAAAGACTCGCTCACTGGTGTGTATTGTTGTTTTAAACCAGTGTTTTTTTTTTTTTTTTTTAATGAAAATCGCTTTTTAATGTTTTTTGCTCCACAGGAATGGTGCCATCGGTTATGAAGGCCCTAAACCGTTTCGATGAGCCGGAAAAGATGCAAATAGAGCAGGGTGATCAAATCGTCATAATTGACGGCCGGCCTGAGAACTACTGGTGGAAGGGCCAAAATCAGCGCACCTTCCAAGTGGGCGTATTTCCACGCTGTCTGGTTGATCCGATGCGAAAGAAACAGCCCGAAGACATCAGCAAACCACTGGAGAATTCTTTCATCCATACAGGCCACGGGGCGCCATTCGGCAAGAGTTGGGGCAGTCCTATATACATCGACGACGTGTACCTTAGAAATCCGATGGAACCCCCGGATGTTGTGGGAATTACCGAGTGCGCGATGAAAAAGTTCCCTGGTGGAACAGCTCAGCGCACCCGTAAGCAGTTCAATTACACAAAGTTGCAAAACGATCTCAGGGGTAGTCCAGTAAAAGTGCAAAATACCGCTGTGTCGTCAGCAGGAAGTTGCAGTCAAGAGGGTACTTTGATTGATCTATCCCCTGAAGAGCTTGCCAATGCGGCTGCAATTGCCGGGGACAATACCAATTCATATCGGCGTGTGATCAACATCCTCGATGAACCAATAGACGTACCAGAGCGAGAACCCACGACACCACAGGAGACTTGGCCGGAAGACGATCCGCGTACCTACGCCAACTGTCCTACTAACAATGGTGTTGTTATTGCTGCTGCTGCTGCTGCTGCTGCTACGTCAAATGTTCCCGATCCCTTTGACACGTCGAGGGTATTCACAAATTCGAATCAGCCCCGATATTACAGTCAAGTGACACCGGAACTTCCTCCCCCGAATCCTTATTACTCGACCCCTTCTGCGCAACAACAGCAGTACAGCAACACTCAGGATGAGGCAAGCGGCGCTGCGTCACTTCAGCACGCACTCAACCTCAACAAGGACTTGCACAGTGAAAATACAAACATTAACGTTAACGTGAACGTAGATAGTGGTAGTAATGGATACTCGAGTGGTGATCATTACAGTGAGATCGACAAGGCAGAGAGCACCAGTCCGAGTCCGATCCCTCAGAATTGGCCGGACGACATTAGAGTTGATTCAGCAGCCCCAGTGACCTATGCAAATGTAGTACGAGGTGGGCTGCCGGTAACATCGCCACCTCCTCCGCCACTCATTGGTCCGAATGAAAGCCCAACCAAGTCTAAGAATAACGTTGACATAGCACAGAGCATAGGTGAGCTGTCGATCGAGACGCGAGCTCAGGCATCGCCAAAGAAACTGGATCCTGCTTTCCTTGCCGAGCTCGAAAAACATTTGGGCGAAAAGGAGGCGACAAAGAACACCAATGCTACGAAGCAACAGCCCACACAGCAGGTAACACAGCAGCAGCCAATCACGGCCGCGGCACCATCGAACCTTCCAGTTGCCACGAATAAGCCTCCCGACAACAACGTCATTCCGATGCTGAGGCCACCACCCCAGCCTGTCAAGCCAAAGTCGCCCAACTGTGATCAGCGATCGAGCGGAAGTAACTTTAACTTTCCAAACAAGGTTCAGAATTCGTGGCCAACAAAGAGCACCAACATCCAGCGGCCAAGGAGTCAAATCGGTCTTTCGAGTCAGCCGATCGAGTGCAGCGGCTCCGAAGCAGCTATTGCTCAACTGTGGCATCAGAACCAAATTCAGAATCAAAACGTCGCAGGCGCTGCTTGCGTCCTCGGTAACACTGCCGCTACCTCATCCTCGAACTTGCATCAAATCCTGCCAAATCACGCTCCGAGCAATCTGGAAACTGCGGCCCACAATATTGCTCTCGCCTACCAGCAACAATTTCCACCTCAGCACTCGAACCAGACGGGCGCGCAGTTTTCACATTCCTCAGCGTCAGTGCAGGGCGCAGCAGCAACAACGGCTTCATTGTCTGGAACGCTGCAGAGGCCAAATTCCATCGCTGGAACGGTTCTGTCCGAGCAAGTGTACGCAGAACTCAAGCAGACCGTGCCGAACCTGGACCAGCTATCCCAAAGCGAATTCAATACTCTCTATAATAAAACCGTCCGACAGAACATACTCAGGAGCTACCAGGCAAACAGCAACGCTTTAGCTAGTGCGACGAGTCACATGGTAAGGGTGATAACGCTGATTCAGTAGCTCATGAAATTTTTTTAATGCAACAAAGTATTTATTCTTGTGCGTATATTCAGTCTAGCAACTGCAGCCCAGCGAGCAGTCCATCCTCGCAAAAGTCAAACGCACGACAGACGCTACCGCGCGAATTCAGTCCCAATCCAAAACAGCCACCCATGTACAATCCGCCACCACAGCCACCGTTCTCGCCGCTTAAGCCCATACAGAACGGCTTCGTGCAGAATCCGATCTCCAGTCAGCAGCAGCACGGCAAGCCCAATGTCAACAGTTCCAGTCCAAACCTCATGCAGTTCACGCCAACGCGACCGGCGAGTCAGCCACAGCATGTTTATCCGAATGCATCGCGTAGCCTGCTGCCACAGCTGAACGACTCGACGACGCCGATGAGTATGCAGCTGGTCCCGGGGGCGGCGTCCTATCCTAGTGGTGCTAGTCCACCGCTAACGGGCATCTCGCAGCAGCTGGTCATGTCGCTGAGCGACGAGTTTCGGGCGATCAAAGTGATGAACGTGCGGCAGGAGACACACGACGCGTCGCAGCAAGAGGCATTGGCTGCCCTACAAGCGACTGGCTGGGATGCAGCCCAGGCTGCCAAGCAGATCGTCAAAGACCGAATAGTTAAAATTGAAACGTTACTCAGGTGAGAGCGCGTGGTTGAATTTTATTTTTAGATACCGGGTGAGCGCGTTGTTGTAGAAAAAGCCGGAGTGGGAGTTGGATGAATTTGAATATTTATGAACGCTTGTTACTCTGAACTACGACTTGCAATACTTTAAATCTCTTTGTCAGCTTGTTGTATTTTGAATCATTTGTTTTTCTATTGTTACAGGCTTGGACTTGCCAATAGACAAGATTGCGAAAACGCATTGAAGCAGACTGAATTCGACGTAGATTTAGCAGCTTCTTACTTGTTGGATCGTGCGAGATGAACTATCCACGAGCTTAGTATACATACAAAGTTTATTTGTAGCTGATTATCGTTGTATAAAAAAAAAAAAAGTGGCCTGCACAATGTGAAAATTCACCAAATATATTATATGTAACTCGACCTCGACGTATTCGTAACGATCTAAGGTTTTTAGAGTCATTAGAACAAAATAATGGCTAGTAATCTAGATGATGAGATGCTCAAGTGAAGTTAACTAACGTACGATTGTACTTTTAGTTCATTCCTTTGTGTTTGAATACTCAATGTTACAAAGCTCAGCCAGAGTTACATACAAATTAGATAAGGAAGAAACGTTCTAATCAATTATTAAATATAAGATGTAATATTTAGACAGATGTAAATCTGAGTACGATCAAAATGTAAAAAAAGAACCTGTTTGGTTCTTTTTTTTTTTTCTTTTTTTTTTCTTAAAATTAGTTTTGACTTGAGAACTGGATGCCGGCACCCTTGAGATTTTAGACAACTATAACTGAATAAGTACTTAAACAATTTAGGAAAAACTGACACGTGACAAAAATGTATTCTAATATGACAGAATCAAAACCAAATTCGAGTAACAGATAATTATACTCAACGTATTCTCAAGAGTGCTAGCTTCCTACGTTTAAGCTAAGGCTAAGGCTTGAGAAAATACTTTGGAATATGATGCTGTGATATGCGCTACTAAAGGCTCTATCAGTGATTCTTTCTGGTAACGTCGATAGTTAAGTTATCCTCTTTTCCTTTTAATTTTGGATTTGTAAATAACTTTAGCTTTGTTATTAAAAAAAAAAATATAAAAAAATAAAAAAATTGGAGGATGTAATAATCAATTTAGTTTAAGGCACAGCGTACGATCAAAAATAAAGCTTTAAATGGCTTTGATTATTGAAATCTACGTTTTGATTTTATCGTGGAGTAAGATGATGCATCGCGTTTATTTATTAATTTGAATGATCATTCAATATGCCCACTTTGTATTATGTATAGCGTAAATGTACAGAATGCATAAAAAAGTACCCTACGTGAATGCCTCTTGGATTATAATTTTGTTTTCTAACATTTTAGATCAGTCTACATAAGAGTGTTAAAAATTACATTTGTAGTATTGATCACTCAGCGTGCATTTACAAACGAAATAAAAGTTTTTTTAAAATAAATCAACTAACGCATACTCAGCAACATGCGTAACGAGTTTGATCTCGATTTTTAAAGATATTAATTGCATCGTATTGTATAAAATCTGTAATTTAAAAATATAAAGAAACTTTTATTGTTATTTCAAAATTAAAAGTTGTCAGTACTATGCAGTTAGACGATTAATAAACTTTCCAGCTGACCGTCAAGTCGAAGGGTACGTGCGAGAAAAAGCGTTGGCGTACACGCCCTTAGATCTTCTTTTGCCAAACTTTCCATGAGATACATATATATTTTTAAAAACGAAACTCAACAACTCAAATAATGTAAATCGTACGTATAGTTGCGAAAAAAAAATCCATTCCCCTCCCCCTGTCTTTCACTCTTCTCTCCCGTCAATCATTATTTCCTCCCAATACAACATTAGCGATGGAGACGTATGTACTTGCAAAACAAAAGCGCCTGAAGGCACATAGTAAAAGCACTGCCCTTTCGCTAAAGAGGTAACTACTGAATACACCCACGTACGATCTTCCGCAACGCGTGTTTACCATTTCCTACATCATGTACCTATCCCGTAATCTATTGCTCATCGAGACAATGAAACGCTCTGAATCTGTGTGTACAATACCTGTACGTGCATCATCGATTTCGAAACGTGCGATTTTCGACTCTGTCCATACAGCGTGTAAAATGTTATTCCTTCCAATCCTTTATCTGTATTTTAATTTTTTTTATTTTTTTTTATTTTTACTCTTACCAATTAAGTGACTATGTAGTCATGAAAGCCCGCAAGTGTGCGAAATCGCGTCGTGAATTTGTGTGTGTGTGTGGATGTGTAAAAGAGCGAGAGAGAGGGAAAAACAGTCGAGATGGCATATGGCGTTTGTAAGTGGGAGAGTTGTTTCATTAATACATCGACGATGAATTATTGAATTGTGATTGACTTGGACTATTTTCTTTCTTGACATCACTTGTACGTATATATACGTCTCGTTCTCCTCCTACTACTTACTCCTTATTCTTCTTCCCATTTAAGTTCACTGAATACGAGTTCACTATATATACATTCGTGAAGAGAATGGTGATGTGATGCACAACAGTTGCATAATACATCTATTGCTGTTAAATCGCGATATACCGTATAGATATTTGTTTTTGGTTTCAAAGTTGTTGTGCACCTACTGTTGTACGTTGATTTCATTGTAAAGAAATTTATTTAACTAAAGATACAACTTATTCGAGATTTTTTCTTATTATGTGCATGAAAGATGTTTAAAATCGGTATCAATGAAAAAAAGAAAAAAAAAAAAAAAAAAAAAACCTACGGATTGAAATGAAATTTTTTTATCCGTAGTTACGGTTCTTCAAGTTCACCAGACAACAATGCTGAATTTGAGAATCCTTTTTGGCAAACAGTATAGTCTCATTTAAATTTTCATAATACGAGACAGCGCAACCTACATACTCTTGTATACGGACGGATCAGGAGATCGGTAAGAACGAAAAAAAAGGGAAAAAAGAAAAATACGAGGGGGAGAAGAGAAGAGAGCGAAAGGCGCACATGTCCCGCTGAGATTCGTGTTGCAAGTAGGAGGGATGAGCTCAGGTGGCTCACGAGCGTAAACGGCCAAGGCGATCGCATTCGCGACGCGACAGGCGCCGCCGCTACTGTGAGTGCTTGGGCGCTGATGGAGAGGATGCCGGAGCGCTGAATTTAACTGAGATTATTTGTATATTTGATTGAAATTTTTTTATTTCATCGTTTATTTACCGATGCGACAGTGTCGAGTTGATGGTGATCAAATTTTGTGTTGGGTAATCCGTATTTAAGTGCCAAAAGTGCCAGTATATCCAGGTGAAAAAGTGAAATCGACCATATAACTTTTGAAATAAAAATCCTCTTTCGACACTACGACTATTTTTTTTTATATTTTACACGAGAAATCAAAACAAATTAGTACAGGCGAAAATCGGCATTACACAAAATAAAAAAAAAAAAAAAAACCCCTCAACAAGCAACTCCTGTAATCTTCGTGAAAAAAATAATGCGATCAAAGATGCGAGGGCCCGCCGTGCCAGCCCCCGCGTCCTCCTCGATCTACTGGGCCTCGGTGGACTCATCGGGTGGATCGGCAGGCAGCAGCAGCGGGGGTGCCAGTAGCCGCAACTACGTCGATCCCTGGGATCTAGAGAACTACGCGTACCTACGCCGCCACAGTGTCGCCGCGGCCTGCACGCCCCAGCCGATCTACCAGTCCAGCCGGCTGTCACATCACTCCTCGGCCGTCGAGCCTGACTACTGGTCAGTACCTTATCATTTAATTCTCGCTATAGTCTATGGGATTACATTTAGATTCGCGATCGGGGCACGGCGAATACCGATTTTCTTTCCTTTTTTTTTTTTTTTTAACACGTTGCGAGGGTGTGTTATACATTGCTTATAGTAAAAATCGTCTATTGGATAGTATAATGAACACGGATCAAGTTGTGCTTTCAAGCGATTGGAGAAACAACACGTGTGAGTTGCTATACCGATTGACATATTGATTGGAAGAAAAAAAAAGGCAAGATCGCTGTGTTATTCAATCGATCGCGATATTAACCACGGTTAGATCGGCACACATCTTCGATAATACTCAAATCGCTGTTTCACAATTTCACAATCGGCCATTTGATTTCGACACACGCACGAAAACAATCCAACGTAAGAACACTCGGTTGATCTTTCAATCAATATTTCATACATTATATTCGTAACCCAAAAGCTCAAGCAATCATATAGATCATTGCTTCAATTAGGCGTATACTTGCAATCAACACATCTAGAGCGAAACTTCACTTTCATTCGGTAAGTATACATGCTCGCGCATCGTATTAGCCGGCACATAAAGTCACTACATACATACACCTGTATGTAATATTATTCGCGGCTTCTCCGACATAGTATATATACTTGGACTTATTAAACACAGAAACAGGCATATAGTCATTACATCAGCCGGTCAGGCGAACGAGATTCTCTTAGAAAGTCCGAAAATTACACGCCGCCCGCCTACTTACACGTACCCCCGATATACAGAAGCCGTAAGGAGGACCAGGTAATATAATTGACGGCAGGAAGTACTTATGGAACGGATTGTTATTTCTCCTCCTCTTTTGCTCAACGTTCAAAGCCCACATGTATGATCCCCTAGATTGGAAATTCGAGCATCGACTTTGCTCCGATGGACTTTCTGATTTTCATCTCTGCAATGTGGCTGACCCGATAGTTAAGTATACGTTGTAACAGGAGAAGAAAAAAAAACAAAATTAATTTTCACTTGAATCCAAGGGGAGGGGGTCGGAAACTCGCGTGAAAACTTTGTTGCCTGTACAACTATATATACTTGGCTCTCGGGGGCAATCAGCGTAACGAGTAGTGCAACAATCCATGTCTCGTAAAAGGTGGCATTAGGCGCGGTAAATAATACACGCATCGGGTGGGAAAAACAAAACTTGCACACGAGCGACGATCCGCGGCTTGAGGTGTAGGGAACAAACGACACAAGACAATTTAAGAGGTAAGCCTTTCCGTGGCTCCGAAATTTTCTCAACATTGCCACTGGAGCGATATTCACACCTGCGGCAGCTCGGCGCGCGTGAAATTCTCCCAACGCACACATTGGATGTAAAAGAAAAAAAGAAAAAAAAAAAAAAAACGATCTTATGAAGCGAAAGTGGTGTATCTTACTGTTGTTCCCGGCAATGAGAGATACGAGGCTCCGACCGTTTCCAGCTTCCAGGCGTCTGTGTAGATGAGCGAAAGAAAGAGGGGGAAAAAGGCAAAAGAAAAAAAAAAAAAAAAGAGAGAGATTCAAGATGATCTTCGAAAAGAGCTGGGTATATTAGTGGATGCTCCAACCCAAGGATCATGAAATACAAACAACGGTAACACCACAAGAAAGTTTTTCGGTACAGTAGATGTGGTTGCGAGGATAACGGGTACGGAAATCTCTATAAAGTCATATTACAGTTCGAATTGTAAGGAATTATAAGCTTGTCAATTTTATGTTTATGCGTTCTATTGCATCAAACATTCTAGATTAAGTAAATAGATATTTNGGAAAAAAAAAAAAAAAAAAAAAAAAAAAAAAAAAGAGAGAGATTGCGCCGTGAACCGCAAAAACTTACAAATTGCAGGTACGCGCCCTCGGCGTCAGCGGTTGTGAGAGAGCCGGGGTACGACGCGCCGGCGTCCGTCGAGGAAATGTACTTCCGGCCGGCCCCCCGGCCCATCGGCACCTCTGGCTGCTACTATCACCAACAGCCGATCTACGAGGACGAGGATATGGCCCTGCAGCACCTACACCACTACGCAGCACCGATTCCCCTCTACGATCACCTCTCCGGTAAGACATTTTTTTTTTTTTCTAATTTTACGCTGCTCTGTGTATAGCTGGTGCTCGTTAGGCGAGTGTGGTATGTAATTATGGTGAGTGATTAGGGGCACGGGGAGAAAGATGAATCTGATGGCTGCTGGAAGAAAGTCTCGATTTCTTTTGTATGGCATCTACCGATACACCTGTAATCTTATCCAACTTTTTTTCTTCTTCTTTTCTTTCGATCGATGATTCGCCAAGGTACATTCCAAGCACGCGCCCAACGAGTTTCGTGATACCCATACGGATGCTGTTACGCCATTTGACTCCTTCCTTGGGACGATAGGTATACATTGATAAATAAGTATAGGTGTATTTATAAGATATTCGATGAAAACCGGTACACAGAGCGCATAATAGTGAAATTTCGTTTATTTGGCTTTCTAATTTTTGCCATCGCATTTTTTTTTTTTCATCCTAGACAAACATATGCAGGAAAGAATTTTGAGGTTTTTTTGACGTTCCAGAAGTACGACGAGACACGATTCATTTATAATTCAACCCTTGCCACTGTACCACGCAAAAACAGCCGTAATAATAGTTGCAATTGATAGAACAATGCACGATTGAATGTAAAACATAACGACGTGTAATAATAATAATAACATATAGAGTACCCACCAGCATCACCACCAACCGATATACGTATTTCCTTATCATTAATCATTGAGCATTGTGTTACGCTGTAATACCTATACGTATTGACCAGGAAACAATTTTAATTTATTCATCTTCTTTTCTTCGTTTTTTTAAATCAATGGCATTCCCATCAGATATTATATACCTGTAAGCGTTACCTAAATCACCTATTAACCGTTAACTAATTAACATGTATAGTATGAAAAAACACCTATTATTGTCTACAGTTACGTATACCGGTATCGTATCAATCGCCAACGGCTTGGAATATTATTTTGGTCGATAACGCGTGCAATGGAACGAAAAGCACCCGATCGGCTCTCGAAAAACCTTGCACTTCCGAGTTCCACTTGCAAACGGAAGATATGTTGTATCTCCAGCGAAAATATATATATATTACACGCTACATGAGATTAAGTTTTCCCCCTCGGAATAACGCGTGTATGCACAATACAAGCCACGATGCACGTGTTGGGCGAGTGCGCGCTTTCTTCCGTCATCCACCTGAATTACCGTGGAAAGCACACATTATCATGCAGGTACAAATTGATACACGGACTTTATGAACGAGATGGAGAGGAGGGGAAAAGAAAAAAAAAAAAAAAAACAGCCGGCGTGCCTTTCAAGGACTCTCTGTTTCTCTCTAGTGGTTGGCGCTGCAATTTCTCCGGTGCTACCGCATCAGCGGCGAGCTGATACAAGTAGACCGGGGAAAATGATTTCGGCCGTAAAACGTTTCGCGAAAAGTATACCCATATTAGCGTTATATATATATATATATATATGTGTGTGTGTGTGTGTGTGTGTGTGTGTGTAGGTACATTACGCGAGGCTTTCGGATGTTCATTAACATCGAGTTTTGATGCTTATGTATAGTAATTTTTTTTTAATGCGTATAGCTGTAAATGAATCAATGAGTTTTTAATCGGTGTTCTATTGATTCATCGATTTATCACTTTTGCGTGTATAAATATTATTATGAATAATTTAATAATTTAATAAAGAAGCTTTAATGACTCTGACGTGCAATCGAATGAGTGATTTCTTCGTGTCGAGTAATTTTCAAAATTGACAAAGTTTTCCGGTTACTCCTCGAGTGCTATACTCTAGCGTCTCGGGGCAACGAGAGTAAGGTCGCTTGATTTAAAAGTGTCAATTAAAAGTTAAAATCGAGGCACGACTGTAAGCACTTGCTAAATAAGCTGCACATAGGCGCACAAAAAACAAACATACAAAATCAGCCAAGTGGATTCCACAACAATCGAAGCGATCCATATGGTAGAGCAGCTCCGTAACCCTGACCCCACACCCGCTCTGTTCGATTGGCGGGTACATCTTTCGTAAATAGTTGGGCTTCCGGTGATGGTATAATTTAATTGTTTCAAAAGGTCTTTCGATCGGTCGCGCTGCTCGAACACCCATCCTAATTACTTTATGGTACGCAAATTGCAAACTGCGGGAGGGGAAGCAAACCGTCGTTCCGGAAATACAACCACTTAACCCGCTTACTTATGCACGTGTATATATCTACAGATCGGCCTATTGTTCGGGCTAATTTTTGCAGAGCGAGGGAAAAAAAAAAAAAAAAAAAAAAAACGAAAAGGAACGGGGTCGGGGTTTCTCGGCACCTTTTGGCTCGCCATGTATATAGAGACGCCACGTGTGTTGAGTTGGGACGAATTTCGCGTGGCGATTTTTGGTGCACGGGAAAGTGGGACACGGGCGTTTTGTCGTGCGCCGATGGGCCGAAATTTCGTATAGGCTGCAATTACAGGAGCTCGCGCGTTTTTTTATTTTTAACAGAGATTGATATCGTGCGCAGTTTTTTTTTTCCCCCCACAACGTATGTGGGAATGTGTGATTGCGAAAATTATAAGTTTCACCGGTGGGATTTGGCGGGAATTAATGTCGTAGATGAGTGAAAGTGATTTCAACGGGCATCAATGGGTTGTTTTGACGGCGCTTTCACGTAAAGTTGATTTTTTTTTTTTTTAAATCCCACGTGTAACCGTTCACTTTTCTTTGAAAACACGGAGCGAGTATAAATTGGCCCGATAATGATTCATCTCGTTGACAGGAAAACCGGAAATTTGAGCAAATTCGCCTCGAAAACGTTTCCATCCCCTCCGGAGTCGTCCAAAAAAGTAATCCACTGCAGCCCGGTAACAAAATGTGAACGCACAATTGCCGCTCGACGTCCGGCACTCGTTTTATCATGCATCCCCCTCTGCGTCCGTATATGCGATAAATTATAATTTATACGGGCCTCCCGGAAAATTTCACCCGATGAACACAGCGTTATTGTACCACAGTGCACGAGCGTGATGTGTGTGTGTGTGTGTGTCTAGGTCACGGCTTTTCTCTTTTCTGTCGAACGGAGTATACTTATGTATAATACTTATGAGAAGAGCACGCATTGGGCGTGAAAATTGGAGAGAAACACACGGGATGTCCGCAGACGTACACGGTGATGCGTGTATGACTTTACGGAAGATGGTCTTCTTATCTGGGCCAGACGTGACGCGCGTCTGTTATTTACTTTGGGAATTGATTTTTATCGTTTCGCTGGTCTATATGTCCTTTGTACTCGCTGTACTATGCATACATGTGCTGGATACATGTACGTTTTGTCGATGAAACTCTCTCTCTCATTAAAAAGCTAAACTCACGCTTGTCACTATCCCTAATTGTTTATACTCATGTATACGGATATCCGTACATCAAGTGCATGAGTCTTCATTTTTTTTTTTTTTTTTTTTTTATTGTGATGGCTACTGTATTTACGACGCTTCGATCCTTCATTTCGATCGATCACTGTAAGTGGAGCGTTTTCCATCTCTCTTTTTTTTTTGTCATACAAAAGGGGTAATTATTGGAAATTACGACTGACACGAGGAAAAAAAACAAAAAAAAAAAAAAACGCAACGCGTATGCCGGGGTACGATTAATTGGACTTTCAGCTCGTTGTTTCGTCTTTTTTCATGGCCTTTTTAACATATACGACTGCAACTCTAAAGTATAATTTATGCTTCATCAAGCATCACACCAAACATGTATAAAATTTCATTTCGAGTTCGTTGGTCATCGACCTTGTGGTATATTACGTCAAGTAATAATCATCACTTGAAATCCGTTCAGTTTTGATACGAAATACCTCAATCTGTTGAAAATAAAAAATATAAATAAACAGATGACTGTACGCATCTGAGGCTCGTTTCTTTACAAAGGTGGAGGACATTGGATTGAATTGTGATTTCCCCTCTCCCTGCCCTTGCCGAGACCAAATTTCTTTGTATGCCTGCGCGAATGTACTGCAATCGAAAGTTTGTTTTTGTCAATGATTTCGTGGTTCAAAATTAAATTTAATAAAATATAATGTACCAACACCATAAGCAACTGTCGCTCACAAAGTGCCAGTGTACAGTTACAAACCTCCTCCGTATGTATACTCTAATAGAGCGCATCGACATATAAATATAAGTGCGGCTAATTAACGCGCAGAGAGAGAGAGCAACGTTGTTCTAGCCCCTCAACACATACACACCACCTCGTCGAGTCGAGAAAGAAACAGAACAAAGGCAGAGGCGTGACTTGTTCTTCTGTTCTCTTGTTCTCTTTTGCATATTAGTTATACGATGCAGTTCGGTCAGGGAAAAAAAAAAAAAAATCATGCCAAAAGTTAATGTAAGCTCGGCGAGAGGCCTCGCGCAACCGGAAATTAACGGTGCATTGTATACATGCTATATACATTGTCATCTCTATGCTCGGTGTAGTGCAAGCGACAACTCTATATTTTGCACGATCCTACACAACTGTAATGGATTTATACAACTGCACATCTTGTGTGACGTACTACAAAATATTATAATGACCGGCGGAGGTGCTCGCGAAAGTCGCGTTTGGCACGGGTAATACATGGAAATTCGTTGATGGCTCGCGAGAACGAGAGATATAAGGCACGTATTACTGTTTGACGATGTGTCACTGACACTACCGCGCCGTGGTATGGCACTTTTCTTTCCTCGTGGGACTATGGCGTTTATCTTCATTGGGACGTGCGCGAGAAGAGCCGTTCATAATATTTCAATGCTGCGCAGAGAAAGGCGTAAGTTTTCTTTTTTTCTTTAAAATCTCTCGTTGAATTTTCCTCGAAGTACAAATCCAACGCGTACAGGCACTGACGAAATGTTTTTCCCGAAGCCGATTCGCGCACCTAAGCGGTGCTTGTCGCCTTTCGAAAGTCCAAAGGACCAACAAAAAGCACAAAGTCCATACATACCAAAGGCGTTTGCTCCGATTCCAAAGTGCGTCACACCCACGGGATGGATAAA